TACATAAATATTTAACACGTTGGTTACATAAATATCTAGTTCTGCATATGTCCTATAAATTTCCTGTTCTGCTAGTTTCTGAAGCAGTATGGGAAAGTAGCGGTCTCGTTGTGAAATGACTCAGATTGTGTTCCAATCAAACCATGCGCTTTGTGATTGACTGAACTGGCTTCTGCAGTGAGTCGGCAGAAATCACAAGGTGAATGGTTACTGAATAGCGCTATTCGCGTAGATCATTGGATCCTTTATTCTTCATAAGAAGTAGTTTTCTGCATCATTTATTCGAACATTTTTCGAGCTCTCCTTGTATATGTGGAGCTTTATTTTCAGTATTTCCGCGACTTGTGATATTGGCTTTCTCTAAGAGACTTATTTTTATGCGTTTTGTGCTGTTAAAAAAAGCAGTACGAAACGCATATTATCACGGAGTTGTCTGTGCGCGTGTTTGTTTGTATGTGTGTGTGTGTGTCCACAGTAACTTGTCTGCAACTTTCAACTCGGGGACCATAAAAGCTAGAAAGCCGAAAATTTAGGGGAACGTCCCCCCACCCACATGTGACCCCGCAAATTTAAATCTCGCCTCCCCGTGCCTGCGGGTAACATGTACTGCCCCGTATAAAACAATTTTGGACGGGTAAAATTATTCCCACGGGAACCACGGGAACCAGAAGGCTGAAATTTTGTGGGAATGTCCTCCGCCCATATGCGGCCCAGGAAATTCAAATTCAGCGTCCCCGCGCTCTTCGGTATCACCTGCAGCTTTGTGAAAATTTTGTCGGGTAAATTATTATATCGGGAACCAAGGAATCTAGGAAGCTGAAATTTTAGGGCGATGTCTTCTACCAACGTATGACCGCCGTAAATTCGGATTCTACCTTCGCGCACCCTTGGATATCATGTACGGCCTCGTGAAAGCTTTAGCAGGAAAATTGTCGCATGAACTGCAAAAGCTAGAAAGCTGAAATTTTAGCAAGGCTGCCCACGTGCAACTTCAGAAATTTTCAACGTCCCCGTGGAAGTTTCGGCGAGAAAAATCATTATCTTGGGAGCCAGAAAAGTCAGGAGACTGAAAATTTCAGGAGAATGTTTCCTGCCTAAGCAGGGGCTTCACAAACTCAAATTCAGTTCCTAAACATGCCAAGGTCCCACATACGACCACGTGGAAGTTTTGTTTCAAAGATCATTTGAAAGCCACAAAATTGAGAGATTGGAATTTTGCAAAGGTATTCACCCTTCGGGGTCCCAAATTCAGCTTTCTTAGGCAGGTGCGTAAAATTTTTGACTGTTTTCCAGCGTTTCAACTATTTTTGCACAGACCAAAGTGCAAAGCAGTAAGAATCATTAGTAGGCAATCTTTCGGTGGACGGAATTGCACAAAACGTATAATCGCACCGACTGCCATGGTGCGCACTGCTATTTATTTATTTATTTTTTGTTGTGACTGAGCTGAAGATTAAAGCAATCAAGAGATCGCAAGCGTCAAACTGAACTAAGAGATGCTCAGTTCTAATGAGGGAGAAATGACAGATAATCCGGGAGAAGAGGGATAGATTTTCCAGAAGACAGCTTGTGAACACAAAAAGGCGGCCTTTTCTCGTTGGTGGCCACTCTGCCCTTTTAACTGCTCTTTTGTGCAGTTCTTGTTATCAGCAGTGCTCTGATTGAATCTTTGCAGATGAGTGCCACTGCAGCAGCCAGTATCACTAAAGCAGAGGGCGATAATGTCAGAATCGAGAGCAGCCAGAAAGAAGCTGATGATGAGGAGCGATGTACAACGCCGATCGCCGAATGTTCCCTTCCAGAAACAGTGCCAGTCGATGACAATAAAGAAACAAAACAGACCACCGTGCCTTCAAGGCCGCCTCCAGTAGAAATTCAGGATAGTGCTGTTGCCGGCGATCCTGAAAAAACACCCCCTGTGCCACCGCGTTCCAAAAAGCGTCGTGTTGGGGAGCTGAAATGTTCCGAAGTGAGGTGGTTTTACCGGAAGCGAGGAACAGAGACGAAGTGGACAGCTTTTAAAGGTACATTTTATTTACCGCATGCTTTCTGGTATTATTACGATGAG